TTTCCCTATCGCTTAGTTTACCTACTTGAGCATTAAAGTCACCGGCCACTATTACTACATCCGAGCGCTTAGCTTTTCGGAGAAGGTCCGAAAGCTTTCTGTAAAACTCATCTTTTACATCATCTGAGCTGCAGTCAGTGGGAGAATAGGCAGAGACGACGAAGAGGCAACGACGAGTGTCCCTATCTTTCCGGATTCTTACTGTTCCGTTCAGTCGGACAGCGCACAAACGACTGTCTACTGGGATCCACTCTAAGAGAGCTAGTTCTGCCCTAGGACTCAATGCTATACCTACGCCGGCGAGGCCACGGGAAGCAGAATCAGGGCTTCCAGATACACGAAGCGTAAATCGAGTCGGTTCTTTATTTTGGCATGGTGAGGTCAAATGAATGACGCTACTCGGATCCTGTATGCGCGTTTCGGAGACGCAGCACACATCGATGGCGCGAGATTCTAAAGTTTTAGCTAAGGAAGCCTGCTGTCCTATTTGGCAAAGTGTTCGTACGTTAAAAGCTCCTACGTGTAGTTTAGAGCGTGGTTTCAGGAGACCAGGAATGGCGTTCCACGTACTCGAATCGTTTGCCCTAGCGGTGCGAGGTGATAAAGAGACGTGAGGAGGGTTAGTCATGGAGATAAGAGAGGTATTAGGAGGTGTAGGAAGGATTTGAATGTGACCACCTTGGTCTCTTGTGCTGTTACGGGTATGAGGGCTGATGTCACTTCCCGGCTGCCCACACCGTGGAAGGGTATTTCTTGAGGAACCTGAAAAGGAAATTGGATTAGTGTTGGTCTTGACGACCTGGGAGCGTGACCGCAGAGCCCAAGGGACAACTGCTTGAGGCCGGTCGCGCACGGCCTTTTTGTGGAAGGTTTTTGACGTGTTAGCTCCGTTCTTCAAAGGGCCTTACCGCCGGAGACGGAAATCCGTGAGGTAAGGTGAGGTGTGACATTTTTAGGGTCGACCTTTTCTAACCCCACCCCTCCTTGTGGGAAGGCAGCATCGCTGTCATGCTGGTTGTCCGAGGGAAACACCTTACTGCTGTCACACCCCTCTACAGTCAGCAGTACGACTTCGCCCTCAGACCTTGAGTTGCTGCTTTTAGTCTTACCGTTCTCCAATCGACCTGCCTGGCATGGTAGAACCTACAGGAACATATGTTCCAGCCAATATAGCTCGGTTGGGTCATCACGATAGGCAAGCCCGACCACCGCGTCAAGGTAGCAGCTTCGATCGGGATCAATCTCAATAATGTTTAATTTCATATTTTATGTCCCATTCTTCGTATTACAACTGTCGGTTGCTTTTTTTGGATAGCCATCTGAACGTCACTACCTGATCCACATCAAAACTGTGTTTATAATTAAGTGAACCCTCATAACTATAGTGTTTGTAGCCAAGATACTTTACAATATATTTAAATTCACTTCATTCTACAAACCTTGTTATTGTCATTTAATCTGAAAAAAAACAGTGAGGAGTTTTGCTATGGAACTATCGATCTCAAAAAAATCTATTGATTCATTTAATGTGATGGAAAGATTTGAAATCTGTTCATTTCCCTAGTTTTTTCTGTTAGAAGGGGATATATGAATTTCTGGTTCGATAGAAAATTATAATCATCTACTATCGATCCTTATTATTCGACTGCAAATAGGAATCTACAATTATATAACTACAGAAGATCTCAGGAAAAAATTACTTTAAACTATATGGTAATAAATATTAAACTGTAGGTTAACTGAAACAAAGTTTTTCAATCAGTTATGATTAATGTATATACATCAAGGAGAAATACTCTTACATTGTTTTAATACATTTTTGAACTCAGTATATGAGCTCGTTTTAGGACTTTTAACAGAATAAAGATGAACTCGAGAAATGTAGTTCTGGGAAAATTATTTGTATCTTCTTCAAAATTGAATGCGTTGAGTAAGCACAACAAGTGAATGTCATGCTTAATTTATGCATAATACTGATTTTAACTAGGACATAATCTTGCAGAAGTAAATACTATGATACGACTAAAAAATATTTAGTTTCTTCTTAATGACCCATTTATTCTCTTTGTAACTAGAACATCTAGAAAAGTTATTCTATTTTCTTCCTCGTATGTGAATTTTATAGACGAATGAACTTGATTAAATCGCTCAAGTGTTTCTATCAAGTCAGTAATGGTCGTTCCTAAGGATGACGTATCGTCCATATATCGGTAGTAAAATGAAAACTTGTCAATCTGCTGTGCCAGTGGACCGTTTTTTAGTTTAGCGAAGCAAATGTTAGCCAATATGAGACCTAGGAGTGAACACATCGCAACACCATCTATATATATAGGACACCGTTGAATTTGAAGTTTACGATCATAGTACATTCCAGTAATAATTCTTTGGTAATCTCCACAAAGAATGCAGCCTCTATTTCTGTTCACCAAGTTGTTTACAGATATATTCTAGACTCCCTGAGTGGGGCATTTGTAAACAATGATGTTACGTTTGTCCTTTAGTCTTTATGTTTCTGATCTTGTTGACGAAGTGGAATACAATCTTAATACTATGCTTCACTAGGTGTTTGTGGTGTGGGTTTAAAACGGTTACTAACCACTTTATTACAGTATGATAAGGGAATTGTACATGTCTGAAATTGGTCTCAATAGGATATCAGGTTTGTATACCTTCGGTAGTCCGTATAACCTAGGTAAATACGTAATTATCCGCTTAATTGTTTCGTATGTGTTTGGTCGAATTACCTATTGATCTCTGGGCTTTTTTGAAGATCTGGTCAGCTTATTCTCTTTTTGGTCACTCAGTTTCTGGAATTTTAGGTATCGATTCAAAATGTTATTCATCTTTTCAATATAGTCTTTCTTGTTAAGTAGGATAGTCCCTGTTCCTTTATTAGGCTTCGTAATAGTCAAATCTTCGTCATTATTAAGTTCACTGATAGTCTACTTGTGTTTTTTAGTTAAATTGCTTCTGCAAATATACCTACTGTTTTTAAACTAATAGCAACAATTATCCAGCTTCGATTTGAAATGTTCAAGTTCTTGATCAGAGGTTGGAAATAGATCTGATGTCTGATGATTTAGGTTCTCAAATTGAATGTCTGAATCTATATAATTTATATGGTTTCGTGTATCACAGAACTTAAGACCTAGTGCCAGTACTCCAAGTTTTTCTTGATCTATTTCAGTACCGGAAAAAATTATGAATATACTTTTTATGTTCAGTCTGAAATTTATTTTCAAATGGTTAATTTTCTAGGCTTTCGAGAAATTATGTTGCTTGTTTGACATTTTATGGCTTACGTTACAAAGATAACTAAAGAAAAAAAAGTAAAAATAATTTCAACGAAAAACAAAAATCTCCTAAAGAATCAAGCTATAAACATTGCAAAAGTCAATTTTTAATTTGTTTTAAAAGAATGGAAATAAAATTAATTTGATTAAAAAAAATAAGATTCATTCTGATAACTCATTTAATGTTGACATTATCACCATATGATTTTAGGCAAAATAAGAATACGCATACCTATGACGTCCGACACCTAATTATAAACTTACCAAATGATATAACTATTGACGATAATAGTTACTAAGAGATACCAACTAAAGTAGAGAAAATTTCCTTCCTCTCGTCAAGAGATTATGCTCTACCTAAATAGAAATACATAAAAAACCGATTTCTCCTATCTAACTTCAAGAAAAGTGAGTAGGGTTCGGAAGGAACTAAATTTCCGAAATATAAGTCTTAGTAATTCAATAAGAATTAATTTACATACATACATACGGAATAGACCAGTTGACACTGAATTCTCTGAGCCAGGTGGCCTATTAATAGTATTCACAATGACTACTTTATTCAATACTGTAAATTTTGAAACATTGAGCAAACCTCAGAACCAGTTTAGCAGTAACATCACAAATACCTCTTTAACACACATTCGAGTTGTAGCTATTCAAAATGTTTTACAAATGTTTTTAGCAGTCAGCAAACCAACAGACGCTTACTCAATCACTAAGGTTTTCTACTAGTTCGACTGTAATAAGCACATTTCCGTCCTATATATATATATATATATATATATATATATATATATATATATATATATATATATATATATATATATATATATATATATATATAATGACGACCGACCTGTTGACAAATTTTTCGTCCGTTTAGTATAAATCTACATTTTACTTCAGTAAAATTTAAAATCATTGAATTTGGATAATATTGACGTAAGTTTAATTCATTTAACAAGGCACAGCATTATATATTCGGTTTCGAGCCATGTTAGTGATACTCTACTTGGCTAAATCAAACAAAAGTAGATGAAGCAAGAATTGGACCTGTCATCTATAATTCATTTCTATAAATCACAATTTAAAATGAAAAAGCTATTCAGTGATCCTTTATTCACTATTTAATGATAACAATTCAATAAAATATCAATCATCAATAAATTTTTATTCCTCCCCAATAAAAGTTGATCAAATTTTCATGAACAATCTCTTTTATTTTATTTTTTTATATACGTTTAACACAAAGCATAAACATAAAGAACAAAATAATAATAAATTAATAACAGAAAATTCTAATTGAATCAAAAGAACAAGAAGAAGGTTTTCAACCAACAAACCAACACTCAAAACAGAAATAAACAAAATAAATGAATTTTCAAGAAAACAATTATTTGCATATATCATGTATTACATCAAGTAAACAAACTGTCAGTTTAATTGTGATTAATTCATAATGAGAGAAATCATCATCATTCTATCACTTAACGACACAATACATACATATATATATATATATATATATATATATATATATATATATTCAGCTTTGTTTAAAATTACCAAATAAAAATAAGAAATCAACAAAGAAGAACTTGATATGAAAGAAATCGAAAGTAAGTCATAAATCATGAGGAAGAGTATATATATATATATATATATATATATATATATATATAATGGAGCCTATGAGAGAATGACTAAAAATCATAATCGTCAGTAATATGCATATACTAGGATGGATTATTCAGGAAATTAAAACAAACCTCACATACTCGAACTGGTTTAGAAAGTTCATATTTTACAATTGGTATTTCGAATGCTGAACATTGAGCACAAAGTAAACGTCCACAGTGGCGACTAGAAAAAAAGAGAAATGTTAAGATCATTAATTAAAGGTGCAACAACAATGGTGAAATATAATACGATTTTTAGTAGTTTAATGATTTGATGAAACATCAGTACTGACAACTTGAGGAAACAGGGATTAAAAATACTCAGATACACACAGAGTAGTGGTTTCTGGTGGTTAAACTGGTCAGGATTCCACATTTACCTCGGGTGAAGAAGCCGATGATTACCAATCAACGAGATCTCAAAAAAATGTATGGATTAAAGTTGAATATAGATACTCGTACTTTGTAAACTAGTCACATTTTTAACACAGAAGTTAATGCTATTGAATAATGAATTCAGTCAGTCAGTTATCATCAACATGTAGCCTGATACATATGTGTATTGCGTCAAGTTACCATACAACATTGGTACAATGAGATGAAATTAACGAGACTAATGTCAACGACGTTGGAGTATTGGAACTACTAAAATTTGTTTATCCGTATCGAAATTCCGTTATTTAATCCTCATACGTGGATCTGGATTGGATAAGAAGACAGCGAAGAGCATAATAACGACAAGTACCAATATTATTTGTTATTGTTATTAATATTTACAATTTATGAGCGACTTGAATTGCTGAAGGCAAGTGATTATGGCTCGTGATTGTTGATAATAAAAAAAGATCCTGTGCAATTATTCATTCGTTTGTGGTCTCAGTGATTGCACAGATGGTCTTCTAACTTCCGAACGATGGCCGTTAGTCAGCATAGCGATTCCAATAATGAATGTTAAAAGAGATTGAAATAAGGTTGTAGCAGTGATAATGACAAAGATTAATCATGGAAAGCTTGACTCGAAAAGATAGTTAAAGCGTATGTATGAGCGTGTACTACAACTTAAAACAGAGAAGAATTTATCGAATGAATGCATATGTACTAATGTGAACGATTCTGGAGTACGTCACTCAAAGTCTTCAATCAGAGATCGCGAACGTCGCACAAAAAATGAAATATACGATTCATCAAGCTATGATCGGAAAACTATATTTTTTAATATTCATACTGTCTTGATTTGTTATACATAAACAGTGGTTATCACCGCTTTCGATTTATTATGAAGTAAATATTGAACTGAGAAAAACATATTAATAAACAAGTATGTACATGAAATTCCATAGTTAAATACACCAAAAAATGATTGAAGTAATCAACAAATGACTGGCCAAAGATCAAGATCACAAAACAAATCACTAAATCTTCACTTCTGTCTATCATACCAATGAAGAAATTAGATAGACGAATAACAAAAAACAAATTTTAGATTACAATGAATCACATACCAGTGATGTTTTCTGTTAGTTATACCAAACTTCACGCAACATTCAACACAAACAGAACCATCTTCCCATCGAGGTTCTTGAATAAGTGAATCTAATCATTTTCATTAAAAAGAAATCACTTTAATAGACAAAACCAAATAGAAAAGTGTGGGCAACTAAATTTAATCAGTTTATTATAAAACAGAATATTTCTTTGTTAAAATATAGTATTGAGGTTAATTAGGTAAATTTAAACAGATTTTGTCATCTAACAGATGTGTCTATTTCAGATTCAGAGCTTTCATTCTCAAGTTATATTTTTATTTTATTGAATCGTCAGAGTCAAAAGTGTAATGTATTGGAAAATGTTTAAAAAGAAGGATAATTATTAAAATATATGAATTTCAAGAAAAAAATGTACCTAGTAATTGTGAAAGAACATGTCCAGGAGTTGAACTTTTACATTTCTTTTTATTTAAACTAAACACAGTATCCCCTTCAGAATTCATAATTCCTAAAGATGCACCGGCTTGAAGTAATGCGGTACAAAGTGATATGTTTCCTGCTTGATATGCGAGAATTAATGCTGAAAGATGAAGAAAACAGAACCAAACAAAACAAGAAAAACTTATTAAGACCAAATGTAATTAATTTTTTTCTTAAAAAGACAAAGAATTAGTGACATGTAAGAAGAAATTAACATTTAGAAAATAAACAATATTTATGAATGTAAAACAAAATGAGCGACATCTTTTTTCACGAACATTCAAAAAATGTATCCTTGAAATAATTTGACAAATCACAAGGTGATTTTTATTATGAGATTACTTGAGGGTTGCATTATATCAAGAACCAATTAGCGTTCCATAAGTAAATTAATCCAGTGAAATTCACAGATGCTCATTGTGCCCCTTTTTATTTCTAAGATGAGGGTCATATGCGTATGAGGTTATGAATGAGCACTAATTTGAAGGGGCAAACTAGGATGAAGTAACATTCCAGTGTCTTTTGCTTTATTATTGTTCGTTAAATGGCGTCACACCGTGGTGAAAAAACGCCAGGTAATGGCTTTGCTTGTATACATTGACTCAAATATTCACCTGTTATGTTTGTATGCTTTTTGTTACGTCTCTAGCAGATTCACACTCTATATTGTCAATGACTGACTGATTACTTGCTAAAATAACATAGAAGATACTTTTATATTTTGACGGAGTCGAACTCCATTGATTAACAATTTACTTGCAAATTAGAAGAGAACTATTAGAACGAACAAAGAACGTAAAAATAACATGCAAATTTTCAATTAACTTCTCAACTATACGTTACAATAATAATTTAGAGTGAAATTCAAAATTTAACTATAACTAAAAAAGTCCGTACATATTTTTCCATGTCGTTTTAATCGATAGATTGTTGAACAGCGGAGTTCGTGTATAAAAGAACTGTATGTGTTCAGTAAATCAGAAACTTATAGCAAAATCAAAACCAATTAATAAAACTAGGTGGCTTGAATTAAGATTATGATGAAAATCATTGGTTTCCCATAGAAAATTTAAGTGTGATTTCAAAAATTGTGGCAGACATTTGAAGTATGCTAAACCTGACAAGTTGTAAAACGAACTAACTGATAACTGTAATTCTTAAAATAACTAGATTGATTGAGTTTTGGCTAGTCCCTTGGGTTGATCGAATTATAACGAACAAGTTTTACTTTGACCACAAATCTAAGCGACTAGTCATTGTGAACTATGTTCCGCTGTCAGCTACTTGAAGGTAACCACCCAAACTAAAATTCGGAAATAATTTACACCATGAGGAGTAAGTCGAACTGTTGGTCACTTTACAGCATGATCAATGGAACTTGATACGAAACATGCACACAGGCTATTGCTCAATATATTAAAACGAAGATTATCGTCTTCTTATTACATTATCGAAATTGATCAAAGGGACTAATCGTTTTATAAATATATTAGTCATATTGGGAGTCGATAATGCGTTGAATGACTTAATTTTAACATCGCCAGCTGTAACATTGGGTGATGATTCAAATCACAGTGAGACTTGAGACTGCAGATCTATTATGCAAATAGGTGACAACTACCTAGGTTCAGAACCTTCTGTCGATTGAAGAAGATTCATAAGAAACAGCTTATTTCAAATTATTATATAACTAGTCGCGTAATAATTAAATATTTATTGACAAAAAAGAATTTGTATTGTTATATAATTTAGACGCTTTAGTTTATCTTTCGTACTCGTAAGTCATACACTTTACCTGAATATTGTTCATTAAGGTTTTTTCTAATGCCTAAAATTATAACAGCTGCTTATGCAGCGTAGAACGCGCCGCATATTGGCGTCGATTCAAGTTGTTATACGTCATTCAAAATCACTAACCATTAATTATGATAATCCTACGAACTCCAACACGATAGTCCGCACGTGCCTACATGGCTTAGTTCAACTGTTAGTGAGTTCATAGACTGGTGGCACAGTTCAGCTTTGCCTTCTCCAGTTTTCTTCTAGCCTACTTCTCCTACATAAGCAAATATCCCCGGTCGAGGTAGGAGGTAACTCAATCACTTCAATTGAAGAAGTAGTTGGGATAATTAGAGCAAAACATCCTTCCTGATTCTGAATACATTTCGTAAAGTTATACCACAAGCAGGTGAAATCAACAATTGCATTATTCACTAATGGTTTCCGATAAAAGAAAACGAATAAGAAGTAATTGAATAAACATGTCAACTTAAATATTGAATAATAAATGAATTATCAAGAAAAAACTTTATTACATTAACCTAGCTTATTGAATACATGTGAGATAAACAAATATTGTTGGACAAACACAAAAAAATTAGTATGCTAATATGAATAGTAAGAGATTAGAAGAAAACTGGTATGGGAAGAAAACCAGTAAGTATGCATACAAACAATTGCATTATTGAACAATGCAGATTTGTATGCATTTGCGTGTATATGACAAAATATTACGGTATAAAAATCAATATTACATAAAATAACCATAGTTTTTATGCACTGACATTTTCTCATATGATCAACGTATGAAATACGGTTTATAAAATCAAGCAAGAAAATGGAGAAAAAGCCATGAACGGTGGAACTGAATCGTGTAGGTTGTGAGGCAGTTACCGATTGAAAACAGTGGAAAATGATCGTGCAAAATCATGGATTGGTTGAAGTTACACACTGACAGTACTGGAGAGTGATTCAGTGAACTAAAGGTTAAGCGTTCGCGCGTCACAAAAGTTCCAGAATTCGATTCCCACGCCCCGAGTTAAAGATAGGCTTCTAGGTTTTCAATGATGGTCTAACTTGAATCGGTTTCAATGATTCCAATGAAATTAACCGTTTTATGTTACAGACTTATTAGATTAGATCGACTGACTACGATGGTGTGACTTTCTTGAATAAAGTAATATTTTTATTGGATTTTATTCAGTTTTGAAAGTTTCCTCTGCAGTTCCAGTGTGACAATTATGAACGAATTGCTAGCCAGATATCAAGATAATATTAAACGGAAATACAAATCATGACAATACCATATCGCAAAAACTACTGACGTAAATTACTCACGAGTATTGCCAGCAGCATCTTGGGCATTGATTTGATTGGCAACAGATACCTCTAATAAATACTCAAGCATTTCAACACTGACTGGACCTTGATGTTGAGCCAGCAAGTGGATCGGCAATTGACCTCTAAATAAAGTTGGGATTCACAAGTGTTTATCAGTATAGGGTTGTGGAGATTGTTGAGCTTTGATTGAGATCATGAATCGATTAATGTTGGACCACAACTGAAAACCTGGAAGCAATAGTGTAGATTGATTGAAGTTAGACATTAACACCGTTAGATGCCTACTTGGTGGTCTACAAGTTAAGAGATCGCGCAAGAGGCCTAAATCTATGGGTTTGAATCTCGCATGCGGGATCGTGGACGCGAACTTCTGAGGAGCCCCATACTACGAAGAAACGGCCATCCAGTGCTTCGAGGTTTTCAATAGTGGTCTAGTATTGATCGATTCATAAATATTTGAAATCCACATGAAGATCAATTAAATGTAAGCATCAAATGGATGGTTTAACAGTGTTAACTTTATTCTAAAGACTATGATGAATAAATCGACACGAGCTGCGACTTCATTATATGAGAGTTCACAAACAAAAATTTTTCATCGTTCAAAGAATTTTACTAGATAGTATTTGGCTACTTATTAGTAGTCAGCTTACATATGATAAAAGGGTTGAATATAAAAAGTGAGGGGGTTCAATTCCATGTTGGATTGTTTATTGAAAGGGATTAGGATGGAACTCAAGTACAAAAACCTAGCACTGATGCTTCAAAAAAATTTGATTGTGATGAAGAAGTACAATTAGTGAAAACCGAGATTCAGGGTTAGAAATAATTTTGGAAGTTAGGGTTAGATTCAGTGTTAGCCATTATTATTACATCTCAAAAAGAAACATAAGTCCCAACAAATTTCAAATTGGACAAATCGTACTACTTATTCTTCTAGTGTGCCACGTTGGCATCGACGATTATTTTATTGCTTTCGATGAATGAGATGGCGGTATTTTGGCTATAAAGTCTAACAATATTCAGTGAATTTATATAAAGTTTAGACTCAGATACAAATATTCGCTCCTATCAGACCAATATAGATTTACAAGCTGAAAAAGCAAGCTCGCAAGAAGACTCACTTGCCAACCGATACTAAAAATGTTTATAGTTACTACGTGTTCATAAGTAATTAAATTCGTACTCACGAAGGTGGAGACCTTGGATGAGGTGAGCGGGTAAGTTGATAAGCAAAGAACGGATACACTTGTACACAAACTATCGCACACATTTGTAAGACAATGGGGTCTGTGAGATCCTAATTAGTACATATACTGCAACATATAACACTTAATACTAACTTATAAGAGGCCCTAGAGGTGATTTAAATAAACGTTAAATGAGTCACTTGAAAGTGATTGACAAAATTTTTCTCTATTTGAACAGAATTATGGTAAAATCAAAAGTTATACACTAGTATACATCATATAATGTTATTAGTTCACGTCATGAAAATTAAAGTGTTTAAGTATTCATTGTCATTTACCATCATGATGCTTCATAAGAACTACTGTTGAATAAATAAACTGAAAACCCTTTTCACAATCCATACACGAATGTTAAACTGGTGAGATAAAAACATACAATCGAGATTATTTTTAAAGAATTACGATCAAATTGTAATATGTACACAAGATCATTATTATTATTATTATTATTGTTATTGTTATTGTTATTATTATTATTATTATAGAAACTAACCTGATATTTATACAGTAACAATTTGTAGCGGAATGATTGAGAATTTTTACAAGACAATCTACTCTAGCATGTCGAACAGCTAGATGTAATGCTTACACAGAAATAAAAGATATTTGTTATCATGAAATAACTGAGTAATTGGAACATAATAATAATAAGTAGAATTTTATTTTTATTTATTTGAACACATAAATATTGGTACAAAGGGGCACCGAATACATATGCGCCACACAAGTCACTTGATTTCTTTGTGGGCTGTAATACTGCCTGGGTGCCCAGACCGAAGCAGGTAATAATAAGTAAAAACAATTTCATGTCACATGTTATAAATAATATTTAGTGTACGAAGTTAGCTTAGATCCGAATTAATAAGGTATAAATCTGCATCGAAAATTTAACAGTTAAGAGTTTTGCGCTTAAAATGACTAAACTCAGCACTTTGTAAACTTTATAGGTAAACTAATGGAGATCAAGCAAATTATTGATGACACTCACTCGAATATTAATGTATTAAATAAGTCATTTGTCTTTAAAGGATTTAATGTCACGCTTTCCATTTGTTCTAACTACGGGTGGATCTATAAATCAAGATTTACTAAAAATGATGTCTCGAAAGGTTGTTATTAAATTCATTACAGTTTAGCATGTTTCTACAAACCCCTATTTTCGTTAAAACGAATGTAAAATTACTTCTGTTTATACTTTTATCTATTAATTTGGACATAATGATTAATTAAAAGTAACTTAAAAGTGTATAAGTAGTCATTTTGGATATTATAATTATTTTTTATCACGATACAATGCTAAGTTTAGAAAGAGTTTCTAAATGCATGCACTAAATACATGCACTTTCTTAAACTAAACTTCATTTGAAAGAAGGTAATGTTATCTGATGACTACCTACTTGATGTCAGTTTTGTGACTGAACTAAGTGCAAAGCCACCTACATTCGTCATCGTAATATTTCATCATTGAAACAAACCTCCGTAACTGATGTCAATGCTACTTATTTTGAGTGATTTTTTAAAAGAGATTTATTGAAAAATGATTTTTCATTCGTTCGGCTTTGATCGGAAAGGTTGATGAAATTACAAAATCCGTAAGTTGTTATATCCAATTAGCAAGACGACGTGAAATTACCAAGATGCTTAGCAAAAGAGATCGGAATAATAAAGCAGTATATATACTTACGTGTATTACGTTCAGAATCTTGAGAATTGGGGTCAGCTCCATTCTCTAATAAACAATGTACTAATTCCGGTCTATTGTAAATCACAGCCAAATGAAGACCGTATTGTTTCTGTGGTGTTTGTGAGTTAATAGATGCACCGGCAAGAAGCTATTGATAATAAAAACAAAAAACCCACTCAAAATAACGATGAATGAAAATAAGAAATAAGATTTCTAAATGAAAATGTAATAATCTTTATAATATCAAGGAAAAAAAGGGATTGTAATCTAAATGTTATGTAGACATGAGAAAGTAGATAACATTGTAAAGTATATGAGAACATACGAAATTTCACGGGACAACAAACTCATATACATTTCAACAATTAGATAAGTAAAAGAAAACGTTCTACTCAAAGTAAACATTTCATGGTATCGCTCAATTCTACAGTCTGAAAAAGGATGACTAATTATTACAAATCTTAGGTTGACTAGTAAGTTTATATCAAAGAATTAATCTAAATAAGACGAGAACAGCAATCGTAATATGAATCATGCCTCTCAGCTGCTTCCCAGTTCAACAAAGCTCATAAAAATGTTATGAGAAACTTATCCATTTTCAAAGGGGATGCGACTTCAAGTAGAATTTATAAAAAGGATTAAAGCGGCGTTAAGAAGGTATATCACTGCAGACTAACTGTTCCAAGTATATCATACCAAATATTCCTTACACCTACCAAAGGTTTATCAATATCATTCTAAAGGTCAGCCCCAAATAGACTAATGAATTGACATATAGCAAGTGTTGTTGATTGTTGTATGACAGATACTACATAAGTTTAATAGAGCCAAAGAGCAAATTTACGTGTTAAACTAAGAATCGAATTATTTGACTCATTTATTTTCAATTAGCAGCCAAAATAACACATTTCTTTACGTACCAATGTGATCATAAAATCAAATACGGCAAATAGGTTTTGAAAACATAACGTAAAGTAGTCACACAGCTAATTTAAGGAATTATAGAAATATTATAACTCATTACTAAGGTATCATGTGGTAATTCACTAAACAATTGATATTACAAATAAAACAATCTTCATATCTTACCAAACTACGTAAAATATCCTCATCTACACCTGTTTTAATTGCTAAATGGAAGGGTGTGAGACGATGTGCATCACGTACACAAGCATTCATATCAACTCCAATTTGAATAAGAAGAAAAATAGCTTCACGATCGAAATTTTCTATTGCAATATGTAGAAAATTACGTCCTGAACTATCAACCTATTCATAATGCAAAATATTACAATAAAAAATAAACGATAGTGTTTATGTTGGAATGTTAACTCAATGCTAGGGAAAATGAATAAAACAAACAGCCTATAAGAAAGAGGTTCAAAAAGACGTTTGCTTTCCAAGTTGAATATGTGATATAAATACACCTGAACTATTATTATTATTATTATTATTATTATTATTATTATTATTATTATTATTATGACTTATTAGGCGTGAGGATTTCTTTTCCGTTTCAGGTCCCTAAATTACGAATTCATAGACAAAATCTTGAAAAGTGAGGAAAATATGTACAAATTAGTATGTTGTAATACATGTTATCAGTCACACAACGGAAGCTACTCAAATCTTTAAGTAAATGAAATACGGGTAGATTTTAAATAATTAACTGATAGAAAAAAAATTTATAGACTACTAAACTACCATTTTCATAATATATAAAAAATTTCCGTTATGAATTGATAAGCTGACTTTTTTTATTTCCTGTAGTTACGAACACAAATATGTTGTATTTTTACTTGCACAGTCCCTGAACAATAACAGTCATCAGTAAAAGGGGGTTTATGAAGGTTGTTAGAATATTTTCTTTACGTCACGAATTGATCTTAGACAACCATTGAGAATCAGGAAGCACTGAACAGCTGTTTCTTCCAAGCATGAGACTCCTAAATAGTGGGCATCCACTACCTTAATATGACTTGAATATACGGACTTCATTTTTCATGACGAGAGCTTAACTATGAGATGGCTCACTAGCCATCAAACGTTTATATATTTAACTTTAATCCATTTGCCACATTGCACAACCATTCTCCATTGCCATCCATGAGTAGCTTGCTTCTCACACCATAGTTGAACTCCACTGGCCACGAAGACGGTTGGGTAATATTCAGAATTGATCTAAATTAGATATGTAAACCGCTGAACACAGGCTCAGTGGTCTAAAGGCTAAGCGCTCTCTGAAAAACAAAAAGGTCGAAGATTCGACCTTCATTAAGGTGGCAGATCCCCAATGGTTAGAAGACCCATACTAAGAGGAAACAATTGTCTAGTGTTTCCTAGTTTCATATGGTTGTCTAACTAAGGTTAGTCCGTATTATAAACTATAAAATAACAAAATCAACCGAACTAATGGTATGGCATTAAAAAATGAATCAAAAGCTAACCAATCTACATAACATTAAAAAAAACTTTCATTCTTAATCAGTAACTAACTTGTAAAGCTAAAGAAGGGTCTTTTTTCAAAAGACTTTGTGCAATTGCACGTTGACGTAAATCCACAGCTACATGAAATACGGTGTATGCTTGTGCATCACGCACGGTATAGTCTATTTGAGGTGCTTCAATTAACAGGTTGGCAAGTTTTTCATTTTTTGATCTGATTGCCAAATGTAAGGCAGTTTCACCATTATAATCCTAGATGAAGTAAGACAACATGAAAATATTGATCGCATCGTGTCTATATATATGGGATAAAGACATGATACTCATGTAATTTATTCCAAACATGATCATTATAATCCTCCTAAAGTTTTTTCATGATAACACCAAAACTAACTATTTTCTACAGTACTATTAATGCATACAATAAATATTTAGACTAACGGACAGTTTAGCCAAACGCTTCACAAAAAATACAGGTTTAGGTTCAAAGATAATGGATAGTGCAAGTGTGTGTGTAGGTGAAATCCGATAATCTGTATAAAAAAACTCGGTTGGATTCAAGGTGGATGAGCAGAGGGGTGACCTAAAACTATATTTAACTAAAATATGACACCTATTATAGAAGTTGCCAATAAAAGGATGGTTAAATTAGCCAGCGTTAAACTACTGAGTACAGGGGTTCGAAACTTGCTACAGGTGATTTGGTGTGAGCAGCTAGATAGATTCGCAAACATATGAAATAATGACCCGAAACAATGATAATAAATATTGACTTAGCATGATGAGCTTCGCTAAACTATTAACAATAAAACTGAAGACTTACATCGTGCTTATAACTCAGATAATCGTTTTGTTATTTTCTAATAATTATGTTATGTTGAAATGAATAAAATAGGATGACAAACTTCGAAAGTCAATTCTTGGGATTTTAGTACACTAATTTTTAATATGTATGCAGTAAAAAAAAATGAATAAAATTTTCATATTCCACAAATTGTAAGATTTCATTTGACTCATAAACTGTTGGTATATTTTATGATACTCAAAACTTATACATGAAATTCGTCATATAAGTTTAGTATGAGGATTTTGTACCCAAAATGACATTTTTCGACTTTCATCGGATCTGTTGATTATGGTTTGTTGTGGACCATGATACCTTTGGTCAATCAGATGTAAGCCAAATGATGAGCCTAACCAATTCTCTACGAATCTATGAGATACTAGTATTAAAACAAAATACAACTTTCCAGCAGCGTGTAAAAATTTTGAAATACATTTTATAGATCGCGCCTAGTCGCTAATTTAAACGTATGTATAGATGATCCCAGGACCATAGATCAAAACGTTTAGCTGGCAAAATGCCAAACAAAAATTTACTACGCTACAAAATACAATGAGAAAAATGCGAAAAATCTAAATCCTTTATCACATATACAAGAGATTGTGTAGATAATGAATGATTGAGTAATCGAGAAGAAATGCTGAATCTGAGCTTTAACCTTTTGATTAGTGAGTAGTTCAAAGGCCATGACACCCCACTCCAAGAATCAAGTTTTTATCAGTATTAAGGTATCACATCTAATTAAAACTACAATGTGACATTCAAAAAGTCTGTAAAACTTACTCTTTGTTGATAACTTTTGAAAGTATTCCAGTTGATTAGTTACTGTTACTTTCAAAATTAACATTTCATGTGAAGTTGTACATACCATTCACAACTTCATTCGGTATCTCTATCTATAAACATTTAATTCACTTTTTACAAAAATATTCATACAATTTTTTATTGATGCAATAAAGACACTTACCTGTTGGTTAATATGTACACGATTACTGGAGATAAGTACTTGAACGAGTTCATACATTCCAATTAAAGTGGCCATATGCAGTGGTGATCGAGCTAATTCTGGTATAATATGATCTGATTTTTTCTTATCTACTGAATAATCAAACTGTGCAAACGCATTGACATCACAGTTTCTAATTGAATAATTGTTTGACAATAACAGTTGAGAAAGAAAAACTAATGAAAATAGATCCTAATAAAGTGTGTGTATGTACAAAAATATTTTATACAACGGTTTGAAAATTCTAGACTCCGATCGACCGAACTTTCAGATCCACGCAGTTTTCATCTGCTAGAGAATAGTATTCACAATCCCACAAATAATAATCCAACATTATACGGCAAACACACATGAGCAACAAAATAGCGATTAGTTTCCCATTCGGATTCTTTCATTGACAGTGTTCTTTAGCACTATAGGAAAAAGTAGTCAGAAACGCATTTTCTGTGACCATAATCACGTTCGAAACTAATTCACTATTTGCACTTGCTTTATTATTTTGAGCTCACGATTAGGAAAAGAGATAGTTAACCCACAAATTACTGATTTTTTGCATTTAAAAATGATAATTGACGCCATTTTTAAAACTAGTAATCTTATTAGACGGGAGGTGACAGTGATCCATAATGGGAAGGGAGACAAATATTTAATTGATGGCTGGGTCGAGATGAATAGTAAGGTAAAACCACTATGGTATTAATGTTTTCTGACATGATTGGTGGTCCATTCATGAATTAATGAACACTATTTAATTTAGTGTGGTATACACATATCCTTACAAATATTTATACTTTTATTTCTACTATACATGATATACCGAATTTGTTTAAAAATAAGATACTTCAGTGATAATCAATAAGACATTTAGTATAAGAAGGAAAATAGGTCTTTATAACACAGTGTTTTGTGGTTTCAGAAACTATGTTAGTTAGTAATAATCGACATAGGGCCTGGTACAAATGTATGCCAGCACATGATGTTATAGAACATCGCCAAGGGGAAAACGAAATCGAAAAGACGTATACCAAAAGCATTGCAGAAATCGATTTTGATGAGAAAGAGGAAATATTAGATAAAACTGTATTAAAAACAGCGGATACAGTCAAACAGTATGAAATAATATTTAAATTTATAGACTTAGGAGACACAAAGTGAATGGATCCGCGCCACTGAAACCAACTCTGAGATAAATTAACAAACACTAACATACTGATTCATCTAACCGACTTTTGAGTAGCCGAAAACAAATACTTAAGCAAAGGTGGTTGAATTAAAAGAAAGTTCATTCTATTTAGCATATCATTGTCAAGCACAGAGGTGCTAACCTATGAGTAAGGGTTTCAACTGACTGTGAAGTTCCCTACACCTTAACGTTAGGCAACCCTAAAATGTGAATACACTGAAGAAGTATTATCAAAACCTAAGTACAATGGTAGCAAATATTAGGTAAGAAGAGAAAATCATTCAGTAACATGAAAATAGGTATACCACCACTAACCGTTTCACTAGAAACACACCAGCCTCTTCATTGTTCTCATGGATTGCCCGATGTAGTAGAGTGACTTTTGCATTTGTTCCATTAAACGGTGCCCATGAATTAACATCAGCTCCATGATTCACCTAGTGATAAAAAATTTATACTTTAAAATTAATGAAAGTGACGAGATGAGTAAATTACCCAAACTACTGATTACTTTCAAAAATGAAGATATACTAAAAAATGTGGTGAATTATTGAAATTTTCGAATGAACGCAATTTCGTAGTTTATTTTTTCATTTAGAATATGTATTCTAATCAACTGAACATGCTGCTTTTTACATTTCTTTGACGTTATACATGTCAAACACAATAGATATTGTTTTTTATGTAGTATAACAAATTTTGATCCGGGTATTTTATGCAACAGACTTTATTAAATCACTTTAAGCATGCCTTCATAAATGGATATATAATTTCACTCAATCTAACTTTCAATTATTTTTTTAAGCAATTCCATCTTCCTTTGGTTAATAATTACTTACTACTTACTTACGCCTGTTACTCCTCGTGAAGAACCATAGGCCGCTCACCAGCATTCTCCATCCAACCCTGTCCTGGGCAATCCTTTCCAGCTCCGTCCAGTTGTAATTCATCCTTTTCATATCTGCTTCTATTATCCGACGCAATGTGTTCTTTGGCCTTCCTCTTTTCTGCTTCCCTTCAGGATTCCAAGTTAGGGCTTGCCTCGTGATGCAGTTTGACGATTTGCGTAATGTATGTCCTATCCATTTCCATCGTCTTTTCCTAATTTCTTCTTCAGCTGGAAGTTGGTTTGTTCTCTCCCACAGAAGGCTATTGCTGATGGTATCCGGCCAGTGGATGTTGAGTATCTTGCGTAGGCAGCTATTTATAAATACTTGTACTTTCTTGATTGTGGTTGTTGTAGTTCTCCAAGTTTCAGCTCCATACAGTAGAACTGCCTTGACGTTCGTATTGAAGATTCTCACTTTGATATTGGTTGAAAGTTGTTTTGAGTTCCATATGTTCTTCAATTGTAGGAATGCGACCCTTGCTTTGCCGATCCTCGCCTTTACGTCTGCATCTGAACCTCCTTGTTCATCGATGATGCTTCCCAGGTATGTGAAGGACTCTACATCTTCCAGAGTTTCGCCATCAAGAGTGATTGGATTGCTGTTCTCCGCTTTGAATTTGAGGACCTTGGTTTTCCCTTTGTGTATGCTGAGGCCTACTGATGCAGAGACTGCTGCTACACTGGCTGTCTTCATCTGCATCTGTTCGTGTGTACGTGATAGGAGGGCTAGGTCATCTGCGAAGTCCAAATCGTCTAATTGATTCTGAGCTGTCCATTGTATTCCGTGTTTTCCTTCAGATGTCGAGGTCTTCATAATCCAGTCGACCACCAGAAGAAAGAGGAAGGGAGAGAGTAAACAGCCTTGTCTGACTCCGGTCCTTACTTGGAATGCATCTGTCAGCTGTCCTCCATGCACTACTTTGCACTGTAGTCCGTCGTATGAGTTCCGGATAATATTGACAATCTTCTCAGGAACTCCGTAGTGTCGAAGAAGTTTCCATAATGTCCTCCTATCTACACTGTCGAATGCCTTTTCATAATCAATGAAGTTGTGTATAGTGATGAGTTCCACTCAACTGATTGTTCGACGATGATCCGTAGTGTGCATTTGTCTGTGCACGACCGATCCTTACGGAATCCAGCTTGTTGATCTCGAAGTTGGGCGTCTACTGCATCCTTCATCCGGTTCAGCAACACTCTGTTGAAGACTTTCCCTGGTATTGACAGTAGTGTAATGCCTCTGTAGTTTTCACATTTGCTCAGATCTCCTTTCTTTGGAATCTTGACGAGGTGTCCTTCTTTCCAGTCCATCGGCACTTGTTCCTCCTCCCAAATCTTTTTGAATAGAAGGTAAAGCATGCTTGTGGTTGCTTCGATGTCTGATTTCAGTGCTTCAGCTGGTATGTTGTCGGGTCCTGCTGCTTTCCCGTTCTTGATTTGTCTGACGGCCATTCTAATTTCTTCCGTCGTTGGTGGGTTGACATCTATAGGAAGATCTATGTGTGCTGCTTCGATGTCCGGTGGATTCATTGGAGCCGGCCTATTCAGGAGTTCCTCGAAGTATTCTACCCATCTGTTACGCTGTTGTTGAATTTCGGTGATTGGCTTGCCTTCTTTGTCTTTGACCGGCCTCTCTGGTTTACTGTATTTCCCTGCTAGTTTCTTCGTTGTATCGTAAAGCTGTTTCATATTTCCTTCTCTAGCAGCTTTTTCTGCCGTCGTTGCTAGTTCTTCCACGTATTTCTTCTTGTCGGCTCTAATGCTCCTCTTCACTTGTTTGTTTGCTTCTATGTATTCAGCTTGTGCTTGGACTTTCTCTGCTCGTGTTCGGCTGTTGTTAATTGCTGCCTTCTTGTTCTTCCTTTCTTTGATCTTGTCCAGTGTTTCTATAGAGATCCATTCCTTATGATGGTGTTTCTTTAGGCCCAGAACCTCTTGACACGTTGAAGTTAATGCTTCCTTGATGCCTTTCCAGTTGTCCTCCATAGTAGTTTTTCTTCTTCCTTCAGTAGATCTTGTAAGGCTTGGAACCTGTTGTTGAGAGCTATCTTGAATTCATTGAGTTTGTCAGTATCTCGAAGGAAGGCTGTATTGAACCTTTGTAGTGCTGTTTGTTTTTTTTTCCAGTTCTTTTTTAGCTTCAGTTTTAAATTGGCTACAACTAGGTGGTGATCTGAAGCTCCGCCTGTAGCTCTTCTAGAGTTACTGCCGGTCCCAAGCCAGGGTAAAGGAGGAGGGTTGGGCATGGGGTTAGCGTCCCCATCCCGTAGAAAACTAACTCGCTAAAAAAACGCTTTTGTTAATACTTTTGTGTAATTCAAAAATTGGAGCACAGTACTATACTGCTTAAATTGAATAAATCCAAAGTGAAGCTTAGAAAAAAACTACACATTGAAATTCTCGTGAAAAATCCACACATTTTAAACGTTTTGTAAATTCGGAATATTGACCATAAACTGGATTTTAAAACTACTGGGAAGAAATAATAAGTTGAAGATCGTTAGCCAAAATTGACTAAGTGGTAATTGTGAAATTTATAGTCACAATTAAAAAATAAGAAATTTTAGGGAAAAGATTTCGAATAAACCATCATAAAGGGAAAAGCATTAAGCGATATTGACTGGACAAGTTTGGTTATATAAAATAACTGGTAGGAAATTCTTGGCCTAGGTTTCATGGTGGTTGGTACATATCAGAGAAGAGTATCTTCTATATCACGGGAACTGATGTGATTCGCTAGAAGTTCTAAAACTAATCACTCGATGCCGCAGCTGAGGGTAACGTCCTGTAAAGCTGATATGTGTACGTCCATCGGTTAGTAACTTACCGGCAACAGAAATACATAGGTTGTCATACAACTTAGTTAATGTTGTATGGTCCTTTATACAATCAACAATTACGTAATCAATCAATAGCTAAATTATCTATGAAATCTATTGATTCAAAAATATATGATCAATGACACATGATCTAAGTGCATTATTTCGTACAAATAATTAAAACCACTGTTCGCATTTGTTAACTGTTACTTATTATATTTGGCTAGAAATCGCTGAACTAGTTGGAAAGCGTTTATATTGCGAACAAATAAGTATATGATAATGATAATCGAATCGAATAGTAGTAACAAACCAAAATTTTGTTGGGAATCAATTGCATTTTTTCGATCCATTATGGCCTACAGATTAGTGTTCATTTTCTAATGTAACCTAGCTTCAAGTTTCAAGTATCATACAAACACAGGATGTAGGCTTTGAGTATGAGATGAAAATTATTTTCGTTGTTTCAAGTAATTTAATGCTAGGTCAGCATAAAAAAAAACAACTGAAGTCCCCATTAACTTAATTAACTTGTAAATTATAGACTTTATTTATGCTATTTATTCAGATTAGGAAGAAGCGCTCCTACATCAGCTTAACCCCAGATGTACATCATCTGACAAATATTGATCAGTTCGATACTAAACACATGGATAACATAATATGCTTAATAATAATAATAATAATAATAATAATAATAATAATAATAATAATAATAATATAGTAGCACAAGATACATTGATTGACACGGAGCAGAAGTTTCAGAATTGCTAAGATAACAAGTTGTACGGTATGAGACATCAAACAAGGCTAATCAAAGTCTTTAACTTACTGATATTGTAAGTCTATCAGAAAGGTCAGTCGTTGGTAATCAGAAATGACCTAAAGGATAAATGCATCTCATTGGCTAAAAAATGGATTAATTTCCTAAGGATTTCAGTGGTATATATATATCAATGAGTAATTGTGCATATTATTCGGTAGCTCAATACACTTTCTCACCCACTCACATGTGGTTAGTTGGGGGAAGGGGGTTAGCGCCCAGCACCCTGGGTATCAGTACCATATTTCAGACACCTCTTGTTACAACATTCACGTAAAGATCTAATACGATGAACTATATGCCGATAAGAATAAATCACTCTTAGTACTTACCTTTTCATGTTTAAACTGTGAAAATTTGGTAGAATTGAGTGGAAAACACTTAATAATAGGAGAATGTTTATATCACTTACCAAATAATCAGCTACTGTCCATCTTCTCAATTTCAATGCAGTCCATAGAGGGTTGATATATAACTGACAGTCAGTTTCGCTGAATAATTTTTAAAATGCAACACAAGAATAAATAAAATGTGGTGTTTAATTACTAAACTTTTCATTTAGATAAGAAAGTGAATGCGGAATTTCAAATTACTTATTTATTCACAGAAGACAGTCGATAAAGTAGAAATAAACAAATGATTCGATGTCTTTTTATTACCAAAACAAAATATGTAAACTAAAAGTAGCAAGGAAAATATCAGCTCCGTCTACTAAAAACCAGAGGATAGTACTTAACTTTTGCCAGGCTCGAACAGATCACAATAAATAAAGTAGCAATGAAACTCAGTAAATATTTCTGTATTCTCCCTTGAGATAGAATTTTCGTATGGAGCTAGTCATACAACCATAGGCTTCATCAAACCAAATAGGAGAATTTCGACCTGCAGTCAAGCGACCGAAAGTCAAGCACATTAACCATACCGAACGCCATTCATGACACAAAGGCTGCTATATCCAGCCCTATTGGTTACTGGAATTTTAATTTCTACAACACTATACTCACTCGGTTTAAATTGTCTATTCTGGTTTACGTATTTTAGTAAGGTTGATTTCTACGGGGTGTAGTTGCTGACTCCATGCCCAACTATCCACCTTTACTCGGACATGGAACCTTTAGTAGCCATAGAAGAGACGTCACTATACCAAAAAACGGAGAAATCAACATGGCCATCAAGAAATCAACAGAGGAAAAGCAATAGGACCACACAACATACCAGCTGATGCACTGAAGTCACACGCAGAAATAACTGCGAATATGCACCATTTCCTATTTATGAATTGAAGGGGAAGAAAATTGCCACCGACAGACTGGAAAGAAGGATATCTCATCAAGATACCAAAAAAAGAAGATCTCAGAACGTGTGAGAATTACACAGACGTCACACTATTATCGGGGCAGGAAACGCTTTTTGCTGAAACGGATGAACGATTCAGTAGACAACCAGCTACGAGACCAACAGGACGGATTTCGTAAGGATCGGCCGTGCACAGACCAAATTGTGGCACCATGGATCATCGTTGAACAATCGGTCGGATGAAACTCGTCATTATACATCAACTCGATTCACTATGAGAAAGCGTTTGACTATGTGGATAGAACTTTATGGAAAGTTTGGAGTTCTTGAGATTGTCAACATTATCCGGAACTCATACGACGGACTACACTACAAAGTCGTGTAAAGAGAAAAGCTGACAGGCGCATCCTGAATGAGGGCCAGAGTCAGACAAGGCTGCATACTCCATATCTGACGGGAAACACGCAATACAATGACCAGGTTAGATGCAACTAGACGATTTGGACTTCACAGAAAACCTAGCTCTTCTATCCCATACAAGCCAACAAATTAAGATGAAGACAACTAATGTAGTAGCATATCTCAACATGTACAAGGGAAAAAACAAGATCCTCAAATACAACACAGAGCATCAACACAATCACACTTGATGGAGAAGCTCTGAAAGAGGTGGGAACTTGCACGTACCTGGTGAGCGTCATCGATAGAGAAGGAGGATCTAATACAGATGCAAACGCATAGATCGGCAGATCAAGGCCAGCATTCACACAACTGAAAAATATATGGGACTTCAAACAACTATCAACCAACATCAAAGTGAGGATCTTCAGTACGAACGTCAAGACAGTTCTATTGTACGGAGCTGAAACGTGGAGAACTACTACGACAATCATCAGAAAAGTACAAGTATTTATAAACAATTATCAACGCAAGATACCAAATGTCCGTTGACTTGATAGCATCAGTAACAGCTTACTGTAGGAGAGCACAGACTAGCTTCCAGCTGAAGAGGGTAATAGGAAAAGACGATGAACTTGATGGATAGGACATGCATTACGAAAATCACCAAACTGCATCACAAGGCAAACCATAACTTGGAATCCTGAAGGGAAAAAGAGTGAGGCAGAAGACAGAATACAGTGTGTTGGGCATTGGAGGCAGACATTAAAAAAATCAACAGCACTTGGCGACAGCTGGAAAGATTTATCCAGGATAGAGCTCGATGAGGAATCGTGGTGGGCAGCCCATGCTCCACGGGGTAACAGGAGTGAGTGAGTAATAATTATCAAGTCATTGACGATAATTAGAAAACATAACCTAAAAATGCACAATGATCCGTAAATGCTATCGATTTTGTGTATCTATTAAGCGATAAAGAGATCACCAAGGTATGACTGCCTGAATTGGTGGTACTAAGAGGGTTAACATCAATGTGTAAGACACCAAATGAGGAGGAACATGTTCAAGAAAGTGTATTTAGCATCCAGTTGTCACCCGAATACATGAAATCAGTAACAATAAATCGAGAGATTTATGTATAAGCATACAAACACTACATTGGCTTTCTGAAACTAATACGTTTGTTAAACTTTCGGTGAAATAAAATGAAAAAACCGATCATGTCATTGTGAGCAGCTGAAAGGCAATAAAAGGTTCCCAATTTTCAGAAACACGTATATCGTTTTTGATCATTTACAAACCATACATCTTTATTTTTTTACATAGTTTTCATAGACATCCGCCATATTAAAGTTGCCCAAAAATTTTCTCGATCAGTAAAAAATCCAGTCACAAGACCATATGCTACTTCAAATGTAACCGATTGGATATACATATCACATTCACTGACATAACTAAGTAATATAAATACAATAATACATCAATCAACGAATAATCAAATCATAAAAAACGCGTTGGAATAACATCCATAACATATACGGTTAGGATGAATTTGGTAAATAGACACGAAAACAAACATAAAGGAGACAAATATTTAGATATAACTAATATTTTTAAGACCAGTAGAAACTATGAAATAATACTTCTCATTAATATCAGCATCATGTTCGACCAAGAATTTCACAACTTCGAATTGGTCACGTTCAATGGATTGAATCAATAAAGATGGCTTATTACATTTTGTAGGCATTTTATTTAGAAATGATTGAATAACGTTATCGGATTCATTGAATTTAGAGTCATGACTAGCTGATGTATCCTTTGATTGATTACACATAGATTCTAATATTCTCTTGACCAACTGAAACTGCTCCGACCACAAAAGTAAGCTGATGACTGAATCACCAGACTCATTCAATAGCAACCAATCAACATTAGCTGTGGATAATAAATAGAGATAAACAAAACGTAAGGAACATATGCCTGGAATCTAACTAGATAGATTACTAAGGTGTAAGTAGAAATTGACAGGTAGGAAATGAAATATGACGAGAAAGTATAAAAAACTAGACAATTCACACAATTGAATTTTGGCCCATGAATTATTATTTAAGAAATATTTTGGTTAACAAAACGACCAGTGGTTGTAGTTTCCACAGAATGAGCTAGATTTAAAAACCAGTTAATTGTCTGTAAATAAATCAGAGCTCAATTTTATGTTTATGGAATATATCTTTTCTGTGGCATCAACTATCACGAAATCTGCACGTTAACTAGAACTCGTTGTTAACAAATCACATATATTCATCTTATTAGTAAAGTGATTACCGTCTGTCTTGTGAATGTGGACAAGTGAACAGTTTTACAGTTAGTTAAGTACACGCTTTGGATCTTAAAAAATTAACTTAAATCACACGAAAAGAATTTCGTGAACTGTCATTTTAGAAGTTTAAAGTCGCACGCGAAAATAAAGATTTATCTTTATAAAAATCTCATTCACATCGACCAATTTTCAGGGTCACACCTAATGGTCTCACAAATACTTAAAAAATTCTCATTCCCTTATTATCACCAGCAATGATAAACAGACGTCGACGTATCTACTTATTTCTCAACGATTGGGTGTTTGGGATCAATGAATAACACAGGATAGTGTGAATTTGAGTTGTTAGCCACTGCGTTTATTTGGTTGTTCAGTTACATAGCGTAACAGTCATGCTGAATTTGATTTCGACTAGCATATCAGGAACACAAAAACCATAAGACCGTGCACGCGCTACTTATGTTAAGCATGAAAAATGAAAATAATGAATTTATGACTTTTGATTTTTGTCAGTCCTCCTGGACGGAACACTAAGAAAAATATATCAAACACAAGCTGCCACAGTTTTCGAGAATATACATTTTATAAGGAAATTGCACAAATATACGACCAAAATTCATCCAACCAACATATGACGACTGACTTAGTAAGAGTAGGTTTGAAGCGTTATCAAACTGATCGAACCATTATATGAAACTGTTAAGTTGATACTTACTGATTCAGGTTATACGAAGAAGTTCCCCAAATGGTCTATGGGAATTCCCTAGTAAGAAGTGACTCAAAAACAGTTTCAATGACAGGTGTGTCCAGTTTTAACATTTTATTATCATAAACATTTTAATATTCATCTTTTTATTAAGAATTCGTTATTTTGCAACCAGCTGTCACTATTTGCGATGATATTCCAAAGTACAGCAAAGGGCTGTGTGGTGTAATGGTTTAAGGAGAAATGACCTTCAAACGTCAAGGTTACGAGTGTGAATTCTACTTTACCTATTTGGGTTAGGGTAACTGGATAGAATAATTAGCCATGAGGTAGTAATTTCAAGACAGTAGGTTCCAAGTACAAACACTGTTTCATCGGCATAAGTTTGAACAATTAGACAGTATCATTAAAATTCACATTAGAAAGTCTGGTTGAAAGCTGAGTACACGAATCTGCACTTTTTATATTTCTCATACGTCATCGTACAAAAATGAATGCATTAAATCTAAGTATGGAAGCTTATATGAGGTTATTGAAACAGTTCAAATATACCATTCAGTCAGTCTTGAATTTCATTAGCTAATTAACCATATAACACTTTACTGATCATCTTGAATGCAATAGTTTAACTGGTTTACTAAGTGCATGTTTAAGTACTCACCTTTTAGTCGCATTTTTTGTGTGAGAACTTATGATAAACTCCAGCTACCTGATACTAGAGTAACGTGGAGTTCGAACTTGTGACCTAATGATTGAAAGCAAAAGTTGCTAGACCAACAACCCACGTTAAGTTACTCAATGTATGATTTACCAAATCCAAACTGAAAAGAGACTATAAAGGAATAATGTATGCTGACTAACCGTTGTTTTCAAGATAAAATTCGAGTATTCCAAACATTTTGTGTTGTACAGCAAGATGTAAAGGACTGCAGTATATTTGTTGGGTAGACTTGTGGTCACTTTTAATTTCTCTCAGTGATGATGAATTTAATACCGATGGAGTGGAAATAATAGTACCGTTAACTGCTGAGTCAGTGGATAAATGTGAACTATTCACTTGACATGATATATTATCCATAGGGTTAGATAAGAGATTGCAGTAATCATTACTTTCATAGTCATCGTCGAAAGGATTTAATGACTTCGTAAAGTTCATTTGATTAGTTTCTTTCACACAAGTACTTTCGTAAGACGTTTGTGACAGGATTTCCTAAATAGAACGGAAATTATCACCTTATGTCGTATTATTTTCTTTAATATGAAAATGGTATGAAAAAAAAATCAGAATCTTGTACAGAAATGAAAAGAAATTTCATGCTCTACACGAAATACATTGTTATTATGGCCAGATAAGTGTTAATAAGGACAGGGGATCAGTTAAACCCCAATTCGTAAAACTACAGAAATGAATCTACTTGCAGACAGAGCAAAAACAACGAGGTTTGAGAAATAAACGAATTCATTAGTCCATTTCACGGGTTCTCATCAACTGCATACAACTTAAAATAACAATTATTATCAATATTAACAAATGTTTTGTACACTCCAGTATGTGAAGTTTAGATCACTATTTGAAAGATAAGCAAAATCACAATAATAATAAAAAGAATGGGGATACACAGTGTATGAACAGACATACGTAAGACAGATGAGTATTTACGTACTGAAGGTAAAGGTAATGAAATTAATAATAAGTGATCGTGTTATAACTCACATGATGAAATAAGCAGATATACGAATATCAATAAGATTGTGTAAGGTGTGTATATCAGCAGACGGAATAAAAACAATATAAACCATTTGAACTCTATCTTGACAGCTGAACGATCATCATTAGGAAGAATCATGACGCCGTATTGTGAAAGCCGAGACTCTTCGGAAACCACAAGGTAGATTCCTATTCTAACAACCAGAGCAACAACTAACATTCCTTCGAGATACTGAAAAACTCAACCGATTCACGATAACTCTCAATAATAAGTTCCAAGCCTTACAGGATCCACTCAAAGAAGAAACTACTGTGGTGGACAATTGGAAAACGATCAAAGAGGCACTAACTTCAACATGTCAGTAGGTTCTGGGCCGCAACAAGCATCACCAAAACCAATGCATCTCTATCGAAACACTGGACGAAATTCAACAAACGAAAAACAAGAAGACAGCAATTAACAACACCTGAACAAGAACACACAAAGTCAAGGTACAAGCTGGATACACAGAAACAAACAAGAGATTGAAAAGAAGCATTAGAACCGACAAGCAGAAATACGTGGAAGACCTAGCAGAGAAGGCGCAAAAAGCTGCAAGAGGAAGAAATAAAAAACTATATGGCAATACGGAGAAACTGGTTGAAGAATATAGAAAACCAGAGACCGGTCAATGACAAAGAAGGCAAGCTCATCACTGACATTCAAAAACAACAGAATGGGTGGGTGGGACACTTTGAGGAAATCGTGAATAGACCAGCCCCATTGAATCCAACGGATATCGAAGCAGCCCCTACAGACTTTCCTATCAATGACACTCCACCAACGATCGAAGGAATCGGGATGGCCATCAGACAGATCAAGAGTGGGAAAGCAGTAGGACCTGAAAATATGCCAGCCGAAGCACTAAAGTCAGATATAGACGTAACTGCAAACATGCTCCACATTCTATTCAGGAGAGTAAGAAAAGACGATGGAGTTGGTGGATAGGACATATATTAAGGAAATTATAACAGTACATCACAAAGCAAGCCATAACTTGGAGTCCTGAAGGGAAAAAGAAAGACGCAGAACACATTGTGCTGGGAGTTGGAGGCAGACATCGAAGGAATGAATAGCACTTGGAAACAACTGGGAAGATTTGTCGCGGATAGAGTTCGATGAGGAATCCTGGTGGGCGGCCTATGCTTCACGGGTTAACAGGTGTAAGTTACCGGTGTAAAATTGGTTACGAATGATCAGCATTAAATACCGCTGATTACAGTGTTTCTGAAACTACTCTTTCAAGAGTTTTCATATTTGAATGACTATTGTCCAAGATTAACGGGAAGTCGGTTGGTGTGAAATGATGTTTCGAAAGCATATTTGACATATAGAATTTCAATATGATACTGACAATAGATTAAACTATTCTGCCTATAGATATTTTTAGTAACTACGGGATTTACAAGAAATTAAGAAACTATTAAAGTTGGTAAAGTGAAATTCTACATAAATATTGTTTGACTGCGTTAGACACTATGAGCTAAGGGTACAATGCAGGAGAGATTTATCAAATACAGTATATAACTTGAGTATTTTTGATATCTATTTTAATTGGATGAATGAGTTAGTAGAAATATTTGATGGTTGTCACGATAGTTGATCATTGTGAAATCATGAATATGAATAAATTATCATACAAAAATCATAAAATGTTTTTATCTTTAGTTAAGTGTGGATGTTATGCGTGCTGCTTTACTTCATTGATCAGGTGTTGTGAAAATCCTAGTGATAGTGTAATCGTGCATAAAACTCTTACCAAAACTCAAACACAAAAGCAATCGACTTATACCCTAACCTGTTGTTAAGACAAAGCAAATATGTAATTCAGTAACTTATTAAATTGCTAGTTACGTCGGTTAAATCTATTCGTCTTATAAATTGTAAACATGCATTTATTAGTCACTCAATGTACATCAACTATTGCCTGATTCAATATATTGAAATTTACCTATCGACCAGATAAGTAAATCATATATCATTTAGTGTAGTTTGATATAGTTTTTGAATTAGCGGTCAGATTATTTGTGGATTTTTGTAGGTGCATAAATAAATCTTCGTCTGCAGTCTTGCCTTCTCCAGTGTATTAAATCATATCAGTCTTGTGTTATGGCAGGCAACAGTTTTTCAACAGTTATAACGAGTAGTAATATCGGTATCTTATTAAACCACAACATATATCTTCCTTCATAAAATTAAGACTGTCGCAAAAATCTTTTCAGAAATTCGGATCACTCAAATGGTATATATTATACTACTACTATATTATTATACTACAGATATGGACCTACTAAATCCAAATGATCGATTTCTATTGACAAATGTACTTTTTGGGCAGTTATTGGTACAGTTTATTAGGGAATTGAAATTTTCCTATTCGACTTATGTTAAAAAAACCACAAAAACAATTATTTTAATGAATAATTAGATACTTAAAGTAATCTATAAAACATCTCACTTTTTTTAGCCCAATCGTTATTAAAAAATTGTAATAAAACTGCAGTGTTAATTAAAAATTGTCCAAGATATATCTACCTCACTGTCTGATGTTATTATATTAACTTTGGAAAACCGTAAACGATTTGGGTCAGTGTCGTTCCGCATAATCAAGCAATTGCATAAATTAGACAGTTCAGCTTCTACGGCAACATGAAAAACTGTTTCTCCTTGAGTAAATGACTCTAAAGTAGGATCACATTGTGAGTGATCAAGAAGAAATAAAGCAGCTGATTCCCATTCGATTCGTGAAGCAGCCAAAAGCAAAGTGTCACCTGGAAGTGGGTTCTTCAAAGATTTACCATTCAATGCAGAATAATGAACATCAGTAAATCTATAATTCACGTTAGCACCATTTTCAATCAACTGACTAGCGAAGTCATATGAATTACTTGTCAATGAGTTAGCTGCGAAGTATGCAAAGAGTATGAATGGGTAAGAAACAGTACAAATTGATGAAACCAAAAAAAAAAAAATATGAATTCAAGATAACATATATATTGTAAGAGGCTTAAAACTTATCCAGATCGACAAACGACTTACAAAGCAGTTGAATATTATCAGAAAAATAGTCACAAACTTTAACCTTTACTAATTATATGAATTCGTTAATTAACCAATAGGATGAGTTAATTAATGTTATTATTTATTATTGCTCAACGCACTATCAGTGCACAACTTCGAGTTGGTTTTTTATACTTTTTAAAGCTCATCGTCATAAAAACATTTACTGGTTGTCGCTTAGTCATCTTTAGCATTTCGAATATTTTACTACTACTGAGGATAGGAATATTACAATAAGAATAGTTGGCTGCAAAGTCAACTATCCAAGCATTACACAGCTGGTGTTAATGACTTTAAAATATACCTGATTTCCATTATAATAAGCAAAATTTTCAACTTTTCTGAATACGTCAAGGGTTTCAATTACGGATTTGTGATGAGCTAATGAGAAGTAATATCAATGACTTAAGTTTTATATCTTTGTCCATTTGCAACTTTCTTGGAAAAACAAACTATTATTTACAGAACTATGGAAATCCAGTGTGCTCTTAATTCACATGCATGAAATAACGTATACAATAACTTTTCTGACATAATACATAATCTATTAGCTTTTTTCATATATGACTGGCTGAATTTGTCAAAAAACGCTGTTCAACTTGGACGTTCAAAGTTTGGTGGATCCATTTAAAAGCCAGAATGCACGATGGTAATACGGGGTATCTTTGGCACCTTTGTAATGCTAGTCTGATGGGTCTAGAATTTGTTGGATGTTAGATCATTCTGTGTTCACTTACTGTTGTTTCAAAAGGGCTGTTAACATTCAGTGTCAGCACCATTTTAGTAACATTGAGGTTCACCAATGTACGTTAGAGCACAATGACGAAATCTGAATCAGTCACCATCTTAAAACACTAGTTTTCGGTGGCTTGGTCATGTGTTAAGAATACCAAAACATTGACATCCACACTGTAATAATTGGCGATGCCAGGATAAGGTAATAAAAGAGAGGTGGTAGGTTTATGATATGGCTTCATAGTATGAAAGGAAGCTACATAGAATGGGCATTTGTTGACACATCATGATTCAACAGCTGTAGTCCTAGAAATAAACAACTCAGGGGCTTAATACCTAATAAGATATGGCTCACAACAGAAGTAAATTCCGATTCCGTTGTAGTTTTCTTTTAGATACATAAAAATGGGAACTCACTCATCTGAAAGAACTGGTCGTATTTTTACTGGATTGTTTCTCCTATTGTATACTAGCCTCATTCACTTTTATTGATTCATTTACCTGGGTTCACACCTCTCTCTTTATCGCTTCACAGTTACACCTTATTTGCATGGCACGCATTTATTTAGATGCTCAGTCGTATCAGTGTTTATGTTTATTAAATCAATCAATAAAATACACAAAGATGAGCTTAGATTCAGACTTGTTAACCAGTTGTTGAAAGACAAATGCATAAACCTCCTATCTAAATTATTATATATATTGCAAATATTTCCTTACAGTGGCTAAGTGATTTATTACTATAAGTATTTAACAACGATAATCGAAATGATAACATACATTTAAATCCATAAACACTTGGATCACGAAAATTGAACTTTCTAACAAGCGCTAACCACAGTGGACATAATCCTTGATTATTGGGTAAATCTAAATTAGGCTTCTTGGAATGATTGATCAGCAAATTAAATAAACTTGAATTATTGTGCAAATAGATAAATGCAACGGTGAACTAAAAGAAAAGTGATTTTTTTAAAACACAATGTTAATTCTCTCATTCGTTGAAACAATAAAAATATTATTTACGACATTTCACTATACAGTATCATATCGTCACACAAAATTTAGAAACTAAATCCATTTTGAATAGATTTTTATGCAAACGTAATAGACAGCTAATCATTCAAACCTCCAGAATAAACAGAAAAACACCTTTAAACAGTTACTGTTTGTTTGATCCTTTGTTTAAAGTATGTTTGAAACCGAAAAAAGTAATTTGTTAATTTTTCATTAGAATTAGAATGCTTAGGAAGATAATTACGAGTGGTATTCAATGAAAGATACGATTACTTTAATCGTTAGTTGGAAATACTTTAAAACGATGAAAAAAGAGCTTCATTGGTGAGATTTTTTGGAAAGATACCTTGTAAACTAGCAAATGAAGTTATTCATATGGTTGCATACAATTTGAAGTATGTTGACCTGTTCAAGTAGTGACAAAAACTGTAAAGACATTGTACTTTTAAAAATTTTGATACTTCGCATATTCGTTTATTATTTGTTGAGATACTTTTAACACAAGCAACCAACAGTATTTGTTTGGATGCTATGATTAAACGAAATACGATTAGTAGATCTGTTAAGCAAACATTAAAATTAAATACTACTATAAATCAGCTCCACGATTTAAGAATTTTTTCAAAAATAGCTTACTTTCCGTCTATATCTTGGGAAGAAATATTAGCACTTTGTTGGATTAATGTTTTTGCTATATTTATCACAGCTTCTGACATTTCCTTTGCGTCGGTTACTGCAATGTTATGAAGTAGTGTGCGAGACGAGATTGAATCACAGAAATCACACTTGATTTAAAACAAAATACATTAATATTCATTTATTACTATCCAAAATCTAAAAGAAAATATTGATTCGAAATTGTTATATATGTTTATTGATGTGAAAAGATTATTTTTCATAGGATAAACGAAGCTGTATATAAACTATTCCTAACTTTAGGAAAGACTGACTATAACTAAGAAATTTCTTACCTTGCGTTTTTACTAGTAGTATGAAGAGTTAAAAGTGTACGTATTGGGTAAATAGACAAGTAAGACCACATAGTACCTTCATTGTAAAAAAACTATATACTTTCTTTATCTCTTTTGAATAAGACGTTTTTCAGAAAATCGTACAAAAACTAGCATAAACATTGGAACTTTGAGGAGAATAAATATACCTGGTACAATCCCTAGGAGAATGCTAGATGATATTGAGTAACCAAGGTTTATAATAGCGACAAAGAATGAATACAAAATTAGAAGCAGAGAATTGGGTATACAACATACTGATACTAATAACATAAAAAGATGGTCCAACTCAGTAATCAACAAACGATTCATGAAGTGGACTTGTAGCCATATAGTGTATGAAGAATATAGATACTACACGTCCACCTAAGTTGAATTGGGATTAAAATACGTCACAAGATCATTCAAAAACAGGAAATCGAATTGAGCTGATCTACTCCTCCATGATCCGATATATACATACATTTTTGTACGCTTTTTAGGTACCACGGAGTGGTTTATTTATTAAAACACATAAACAATGGTACAAGGATGCACCAAATATATATGCGCAACACTTCATCATTCGATTTGTGCGAGGGCTGGAATACTACCCGGACGCCCAAACCGAAGCAGGCGGTTTTCTTAGGGTGCCACTCCCTGAGTCTCGGACCTAAAGGTCAAATCTACAAGGCAGTGGAGAAATGTAATGAAATGCAGTCCGATGGTAGCCGGTGACAAACAACAGGTTCACACGCTATTTGTTCCTTCAGGATACTGGAGCCCATTTGCAACATCGGTTTGGGACCAGGGTTTTCTAACTCCTCTCGATGGAACTTCCGTGTCCAATAACCCGGTTAGTGTGCCGAACATTCGCTTTTCGTCCTCTCAATTCATAAATAACACCCCCGTCGAGAGAAGGCGGTGAATAGAACTTCCCTGACAGCGGGTGTATATGTGTGGCCAACGGGTAGAAAGATCATTTGCGCCTATTCAGTCTTTTTCTCTATTTATCACTTTACATAACAGCCTAAATGTTCATCCTTAATTATTATTAGTAGCCGAATAGTTAATTCCTTAGATTAGTTCTTAAATCCATTAACGATGAAAATTCCCAACACTTGAAAAAATGTACCGCTTTTAATCATTATAGCGACCAAATTACTAACCCAATATATAAGCTCATTATTGTGTCATTTCCATGAACTATTTAGTTGTTCAAAGTAAATAGTCATTTCATTTTATCTTATGACTCTTCAAAAGTGTGTTTATTTAAATACACAGTTGACTGAATCCACAACTTTTGGGCCCTTTGAGCAATAACACACTTCGTCACATAAACAGTAATTAGATGGTTAGCCCAGATTAAGTACTAAAAAAGAAGTAAAAATTCCAACTACCCACCAAATTACTAAACAAGTAAATGGGCTAGTTAATATCTAACGTATGTCTAGAAGTTTCACATTCTTGCTGTCATGATGTTGGATTTCTTGTTCAAACATTTCAACACACCACATTCACTAAACAAAGTTGATAGCTTCGGTGAACTATTAGATATCTAAAACAAATGCGAATCACTTTTTCGACAAAAAGAGTCAAGAACATAGTGTACTCATCTAAATAACAATTCTACAACTAAATGCCTGGAGTACTTATATATCATGTACTAAAATAATCTACCATTGTCGATTGGTCATGCAAAAATTGTGTTAAACCACAGATCAATTTCATTTTCTTAAGCAAATGGAAACATCAGAACAGAACGATAGAAGTAATGAGGTTCATAGTCGTAAACCGTCTGCTTCTACATCACGAATAGAGAACTCAAAGTAGAGGCCAGAATAACTACCGGAGTATGGTTTAAGACAACCGTAATTCCAATGAAATCATGGACCGGTAAATGTTAGACTAGCACTGAAAACCTGAGAGAAATGGGTGGGGGTTTCACCCTAGTATGGGACTCAGGAGTGCTCATCCACGATCCCGCACGCGGGGATTGAATCTAGAACCTTCGGTCTCAAGCGCGAACGCTTAACCTATAGACCAATGTGTCGACATCTAACGGTGTTAATGTTCAACTGCAATTAACTCATTATATTGAAATCCAACAATCTCCATGACCCTACACTGATAAACCGTAATTTATCTGAACTTTCAAGACATTAAGGTTAAGATATTTACAAACCAATTACATTGGAGCCATGAAGCAAGAGAAATTGGATAGCTTCATAATGTTTTTTTCTAAACGCAAACTGAGTAACAGGTTGCTTTTCGTCAGTAGGACCAATAAGTGCGTTTATATCTGCGCCAAGACCAATTAGTTTCTCAGCAAGCTCGAAATTTGCATCCTTTAGGGCCATATATAACGGTGATAGACCATTTTCATTCAGTTGATTTACGAGGAGTTTAGCCTGGAACAAAGAATGTTAGCAAAATTGATGAGTTACAAGACTACAGTAATGGTAATAAAATTAGATATGTCATCTGTGGATGTTTAATTTCGTAGTAGTGTCAATCAGAGACACGGCACTTCGGAAACTTATTCTGTACACTAGGATATGAGAACACCAGTTATGTTAGATTTTAACTTACAGGACTGTATTACTTGAATACTCTTAGTTGATAAGTGGGTTTCTAAGGCCGAAAAATCCCACAAACCTCAGAAGCAATCAATATCTTCTAAATTCCACTCGGAGTTAAATAAGCAATAATGATAGTTCATTTCAGGTGAAACTCAACAAAATACAACTAGGAGGTAACCGAAGACTAGTTAAATAGTTCTTTAGCATTTTTTCTATCACGTGAACTGTATGTTATAAACGTTTACCAATTGTGTCTCTGAGTAATATTTCTGAAAACATCACTATTCTCGAGAGAGTTAAATAAGAAAAAGTAGTTAATTTATAACTCTAAGGTACTTAAATTTCTTATATTACTATAGTCTGCCATTACATGTGATTACCACGTAAAAACTGTAAGGTCGTAGTAAAATTCCTTGCTAACTATAATTAAAAGAGACAGTCACTGAAATCCCAGGCTGAAAATTTAACTGCCTTATCATGGTAGGATGTCGCCGATTATAAAGTATTCGTCGCTTGGAATAAGTACTATGTTGATGATATTACAAAAAAACTTAAGTCAGGATAACAGTGTTAAGCCACAGCTGAACATTTTTTTGAATCCTACGATCCCAATAAGTGCAGCTCATAAGAAGTAATAGATGAATTTTATCGAAAGCTCCCAAACCTCCTTTAAAATGTTAGACGCTCTGATTTGTTGTTGTTGGTGGTGGTGGTGGTAGGTGATTGTAATGCTTAAGTAGGTAGGCTAAGCCAAACCGAATGGCTTACAATGTAGCGCCTCCGCGAACAGATAATGTCGACCGACTTTTGCAACTACACTTTGATAACTGTCTATTCTTAACAAACACCAACTTTAGGCATAAAGAAAAACATCGTCTGATGTGGCAACCCCCCACAATCGACTCAATGGAGGACTTAAATAGACTACATTACCACCACTCATTGTTGGAGAGACTCAATAGTAGCAGCCGCTCATTCCGGAACACATGTTTAGACTTACATCATGTTAAGGTTCAAGAACGCACTTATCTGAGTTTTACTGGACGTAAAAAGACAAAAGAGAAACCCTTAGAGTTCAGCCTAGTGATGAAAAAGCTGAAAACATACTTCATGAACAACTAGAGGGGTTAGCCAACCATGAAACTAATATCCAACCCGAATTAGCTTGGCATGATATCCAAAAACCTTGGAAACTGTAGCGATATCTATCAGCAACTGAAGTCGAATAGTTAGGATAAATAAGTGGATTTCGGCGGTGTTTACTGAACTGGTGAAAAGACGGGACTATTGTTCCCTCTCAATCTAGGAGACTGGATCAGTGGGAAGAAAACTTCAGGGAACATTTTGACTGACCTTCAGAGACACTTCAGTTACCCACTACCTTCAAGTAATCGGAATGACAAACTGATGTAAGTCCTCCAACTCTCAGTGAGGTTGTAAAGGCTACAAGTAATGTAAAGTGAGAGAGCAGCAGAGCCTGATGGATTAACGTCTGAGATTTTTAAGGATGGTGGCCCAGTTTTATCAGTTACATCGACTGAAATGTTAGCTAGAATCTGGAAACTAGACGTAATTCCATCTTACTAGCCTCGATTGCCGATGGTCCCAGTTTTTAGGAAAGGACAAATATTCTTTGCGATAACCACTGAAGAATCAGTTTCATTTATAGTGTTTAAAATATTAGTCTCAGTAATACTTCGAAGTCTAACCTCAGGCTGGTCTCAGACATTGACGTGGATGTAAACACCAAATATTCTCACTCTAGCAGGCTTTGGAACACAGACATCCTTTGTGAGGTCCGATAAGTTGTATTCCTTGACCTTAAAGTGGCGATCGACTCCGTTGGACGTGAGGTTCTGTAGTAGTGTCTGTTTCTGAAAGGCGTACCAAATAAGTACATTACCATTGTATAGTTTCTCTACCCGAACACTACCGGTCAAGCCAGAGCTTATTGGTTACTAAAAATAGAAGATACTTGTCGGTTACTGGTATTCGATCATAGGTGCCTTTGAAGCATTAGTCGTTTATTTTGGAATCACCGAGTAAGCAATGTCTAGGTTAGGAATAGAGCATTAGTTAAGGACGGTAAATCAATTGATGAGGTGGTATATCCCCATAAACTGTGGTGGTTGGAATACGTGTTACATATCCCTAACCACTTCCTACCTCGACGGGCGATGTTATTTAGTGTAGCAGTAGACTGGAAGAAACGTGGGGACGGATAAACCAAAACAATATCAATCCATGAAGTGATCGAAAATTGAAATTAGCCATGTTAATGAATGTAGGCTACCTGGTTGGAGTCTGTGTGGAAATCATAACCAGTGGTTAGAGACTTAGAACGACGTAACTCAAAATAGTCTGCGATGGCGCAAGTGCATTCCGTTTCCTAACTTCTGTTAGATCTTAAGCCTTTAAATTTCTGAGTTTTTTCATTAATTCACATTTCCTTCAATCGTGTCTTTGATCCCTAATCTCTATTACCACAGATACTGCTACTACCTCTACTGCTCTGGAATTTGGACTGATAGTAGGGGAGCAATCACTACACATTAAACTTCTGCGTCGCTACGATTATCTATCTCAAGAAATGAATCAACGTAGTATATCATTTTTCCTACAGCTCACTGGAGAGGCAGAGGATCCGCAGTCAAAGAAAGCCAGTTTGGTGTTGCGTTGCCACCGAATAAGTATACATAAATTAAATAAACACACTATCTCGATATATATTTTAGTGTTAATGATCAGTTGCTTAGTGTACTGTAATTAGCCTCCAGGCTTCAGTAGGATAACCCATGAGACTTGATCTATGTACAATCATCGTGTGTTCTACTTAGCGTTACCAAAAACAAACGACTTTCCGTATATATATACAGTCGCGATCAAAAACCACATAGATGAATAACATTTAGAATTAAATTGGTTCGTGTAACTTCACTTTAGTGACAATGCACTGTGATACATAAAGTGATCCCTAAATTTATAAATACTGAAACCATGTCATACAGACCTGCGGTGTCAGTGACGTATGCCCTTTTTGAACTATTCAACCTTTTGGTTTTTCAAGGAATTCAACGAAACGAAACGAACAAGTTGTAAAGTAGTCGTGTACATTATCGACTTTTTCTACTTCCAAGAAAGAGGGATACTTACCATCATCTCAATACACTACATCGAAGCCAATAATGACTCCTTTTACAACTCGTAGGTAAAAGTAAGTAGATGCGCACTGCTGAGGAGTCCCATACTAGGACGAAACGGCCGTCGAGTGCTTCTAAGTTTTGAATGGCGGTCTAGCTTAGGTAGACTCATGAATTCAACTGCTATAACAAGTAATCCCCTGTCAAAATATAACTTTATTAAGTAACGGTTAACTTTCGGGAGGTAATAAAAACTTGAGCAAACCATACTGTATGTAGTGTGACTAGTCTACAGTAATGACTGACTGACAATTGTGGTAACATATGAACTTAACTAAAATTAAGCGGAACACGAGTTATCATGAAAGATCTTAAAGGAGCGTGTCCCAAAGACATCGAAATGTTATTAGAGATAGCCATTTGTGATAGATGTGAATTACGAGAGAACTGGCGTCTGCATAGAGATATATAAGCGTTTTCACTGAACCATCTCATTAAAAATTCACGACAGCTCCCAGTAGAAATAACATTTAAATAAAAAAATATCTAATAAATAGAAGTTGTTGCACATATAAACCATGCAAATGACAGCTAAAATAAATACCTTTGGATGATCAACGTTAAGCAAAGATAAAACTGTGTCATCTCTTCCAAGGTCAATTGCTGAGTGAACAGGGAACTTGGAATACTTCTCGAGAAAAGATTGCAAGACAGGGGCAGAAACTGTAGAAATTTCTTTCACTGAGAAATTAGGCTGGAAAACCAGGTAAATATTAATCAAATTGCGTACCCAAACACGTGACATAAACGAGAAGCAATGGTCTAACAACCGGGTGGCTCTTAATCTATGCGAAGACGAATACAATGACAGACAGTTTTCTCTTGTCACTAGAGGAATTAAAGCGATTTCGCACCTACAACTTAGAAAATAGAAATACTTACTGGGTAAATAAGGAAGGCAAGCAAAATTCTCGTGCAAGTGTCATTAAATCGGACAAACATTGTGCTTCGTACTCTTCCAATATGCCTCTATAAGTCCATAGAATAAAAGCTTCGCATACATTTTGACGATAACCTTGAGAGACTAAAACGAAGTGGACTTTAACTACCTTGTATATTTATATATTCTACACCATCCTCTGTATAAACATTCCAAACTCCTCCCCTAGCATCGAGAACAAATCTGTGCCCTGGGACAAGAACGTTCGGTGTTTTGAACAGTACATCACTGTCATAAGTTATTAGAGAAGCCAAGTTGCAGCTACCTGTATTTCGTATTCAAAAACAAACTCTCAACAAATGCAAGTATATTCCCACAAAAATTTTGTTCCCTGTGTCCGAGTTCTGCCATGAGCATTTCTTTTTCTTTTTCAAGCTTTTCAACTCTATCTCTAAGTTTCTGATATTCTAACTTAACGTTAGAAATATAAAAGTCCGAAGCCATAGGAAAGGAGTAACCTTGAAGTTTGAAATCTCACAAATTTCCAACCCCTAATTATTAAGGTAGTGTGAACCGATCGAGTTCTTCACTTTCATCTTTAGGTGCTGCTGTATGGTTCCAGGTCGGTAGGTTGAAGGTTTGCTGAGTCGACCTTCACTAAAAATTGGTGTAATGAGAGCCAGCTTTCAATTTTTGGGTACCGTACCTCGTCTTAGTGAATGTGAGAACATCACGCTATGCAGTGTTGCCAAGACTGGAGCTGCTTCGCACAATATAACAGAATGAACCATATCCGGTGCGAGAGAAATAATCTTGTTTAGGTGTTTCAGTTTCTGGTACGCCAAACCAGTGCTCAGATCCTGTGGAATTGCATATGAAGCAAACTGACATGAACAAGTATCAGCCCTTAAATATTACTCCATTTGTCCCTCGAAACCTGGAAAATATTATTAGTGATGAACTCTCTAACGATTTACTCTCGGAACAATTAATCATTGATTCTCAATATATATTTCTTAAAAATCGATCTGTATGACATCCTACTTTGATTTCTTTAATTTAGTCTATCCTCAATGTAACCAAGGATATCTACTCTTGGTGCTTCACTTGGGCATTTGTAAAGCCTCCAACATGGCTGACCACCAACGTCTTATAGGCAGAATTGCATCTTACGCTGTTCCAAACCCTCTGTTGTTTGATTTGATTCCTTTCTCACCCACCGACACCAAATACTTCAAATTAACTTCCTTGTAGAACCCCTTCTCTGTCAGAACAAGGTGGCATGGTGATACTTAAAATGGCAGCTGGAGCTTAACACACCCTAATATGGACAGATATGCTTCGTTAATACATAAATCAACTTAGATCTTACCATGAATCGTGAGGTGTTGTCTAAGTTACATGCAGTCGCAGACTAAGGATTTGGGTAATCCTAAGATTTATCGTTCACAGAAAAGTATTAAAACAGACCTCTAAGTTTCTGTCTTATAGATAGCAAAACTAGAAACATTTATAACAATGAGTCATATATTTTAATGTAAAATATTCGCGTCCGACCACTTCTAAAATACTGCAAGTTTATTCTTAATGGTGTGCGTGTAAAGAATAAATTAAGGTTGGGATCAGTACAGAGACGATTTGCGCTACGGATTCTTGGAAGTGATTGTACCTTGACTTATAATTTCAGATGTAATAAACTTGAGGTCGACGTAAGCATATCCATTTACTCTAGTATTTCCTAAAGGCACTGAATCCACTATTTTCTTAAATGCAATGATGAAATATTCGTGTTCAGGTAACTGTTTGCTGAGTCTCACTTGCTCATTATGACACTTAACTGATGTCTGTACAACAAGCTTAACATTGAATAAAGAGGAGGACTGATCTTTTTAATTGATATACGTCCCATTTCAGTTACGTTAACAATCTGTAAGGAAGCACATTGGAGACGAAACCATTCAAGATGAAGGATCACTTCGACATAAAGTGGACAAAAGACCCATATTGTCTAGATGGCTTAATACAACTGTCATCGAACCAATGATTCATGATACGCAGTCTTCAGTGAAGGTTAACAGAAAGCTCATTTTTATAAGTAGACAAGACTGGTACCTTATGATCAGAAAGAAGGCAAGACCACAGTCGAGAACTTACTATAAGCCACAAAAGAATATCAAAATGGTGCCGAAATACACTGAATTTTATGCCACTTGCTGTCACCATCATGCTTCACAATATAGGAATAGACCAGCACATAATTAGGAGGGTGTATAAATCGCTGAAAGCCTCTGAGATAACAGAGCTTCGTTTGTTGGAAAATTGTACTGTTCAACAACACGAGGATTCGCTGATCAATGTGGCAGTAGTACGACTGACAAAAGCAGACTGGAAGTGCTGATAAACGCCGTTAGTTAACACACCACATACCGTTAATTTTGCAACCTTAACACTTTCTTCATGTTAATATTATGTTTATTCACAAATAATTTATGCTTACATGAGAGTTTTGACTAAACCATTCCGAGTTTCATCACAAATGCAAATAATCACAATATTCAACAACGTTTAGATAATATTCACTATATTTAAACACGTTCTGTCACATTTAAAAATATACTACGATGGCATTGAAGAAAGATAAAAACAGAAACAGCGAAGGGTGTATATATAATTTGATTAAGTGTTTGTGATGAAGAATAATATTAAACGGTGTTGTGTATATTACATATATTGGATTTAAAATGTTATTGTTGTGGTAAGATTTATTGGTAGAATAAGAAATTAAGCAGTAGGGATTTAGGAATGTGCGATGAGAGTCTAAATCAAAAGCTGAGAAAGATCGCCAAATATCAGTTTGTGTGGGTTTCATATAAGTACTGAGAATAAAGTCATAAATAAACCGGCTTACTTTGTGGTTTTATTCCAGAATGCACCAGATCTGGCACGGAATTTCCGGATCTGCGACTCTTTGATTCAGTGACATTTGTATCATGTCGTTCAGATAAGACAGATTTTGCCTCCATGTTATGTAAAACTGATCCTTCATCCTGCGTGGTTTCATCTTCTTTGTGCTTCTTTACAGATTTATAATAGGACTGAAATGGGACTAATGTAAATTAAGATGCTCAGTACTCTCCTTCTTCCTGTGTTAAGCTTTTTGTATAGATATCATTTCGTCTTTGATGATTCCAACTTTCTTCCAGTTGGAATATTTATTAAGCTTAGAATGTTAATGATTTATATATTCTCAGATAACAATAAGTTACATGTTCTCATGTGTGTGTTTGCCGCGCTAGCATGCTTTTTGTTGTCGTCGCCAGAATCCCCAGCATTCTTCCTGTGAATGTTCTTAGGCATACGACAGGTCTACAATCTTTTGTACTGGCCAAAGCTTTCTCGAAAAATACAGTATACAGAAACGATGATAATCAACGTTATACAATCGTTCTTCCGCCTTGTGTGTTACTATGATGTATATTTTGTGTAATCATTTTCTGCATTAATCACAGTGCACTCTTGGATAAGAATAAAGAAACGATTATGTTGCCTACACTGAATGGTTTAAGATTCATCAACATCCACTGCAAAACAACAATAATTTAGTTCTGATATAAGCAATAGACGAAGAAACTAAAGGCTCAGTAAACTGCTACATGAATCAGAAAAACAACTTTAATCGAAACATGTTGAGTGCATCAGGTAAACAAAAAAGAGTTAATTTACGACAAGAATATGTAATCCAGTTCCTCAATTAAAGTAAAAGACATGTTAACCTCCTACAATCAAAGATTTTGAGTGGGGCTGTTATCTGCTTTTCAGTGTGTTATTGCACTTTCACAGTGTAAAAGCGTTTCCGTCAATCACTTGCACTTCCTAAGCACAGAGAATGTTAGTAGTGGCCTCCTGGTCATTTTCATTTAAATAAGAACTTGCCAGCATAATAACAGCAATAAACATTCCATCTAACAGGACAATAATGTGTGTACTTAACTGTTGTTGATGAAGCTGTCATAATTCATGTAACTCAAGTTACTTAAAAGACTAACTAAAAGATCCGAGGTATCATGTCTGCCATCTCCGTATACCATGATGAAATGATTGAAGAGGCCACAGGTATTTGGGGTTTGACAACGATATAACCAGTAACACCTTCTAGTATGAAACGTACCCACCAAGTGAAGTCAAAAGACAGAAGTGAAGACGTTCGAAGATATATTTGACAGGCTATCAATATATCGGGGATCGTCTGATCTAATCTGGCTAGCGATTGCAGTAGATGTTGAGTACGGCGTTTCCACTCGTGATATGGTGCGGATGCATGACCGAGCGCCTTCAGCTAGGTGATTCCATTAAAACCAATGTGGTCAGCATCCAACGTCGAAAACTTACAGAGCTATTTGTTTTGGGGATTTATTTATCGCTACAAACGTCATGAGGAAACCATTCCAAGTTTCATCACAAATACGAGTGATCACAATTTTCACTAACTTTTGGGTAATATTCACCACATTTAAAAGGTCCTGTCATGTCTAAAAGTGCACGTAAGTGACACTGAAGAAAAAAGTAAAACAGAAATAAAGAAGAGTATACAAATATTTTGATAGAAGTCTTTGTGATTTAGAATTGTATTTAACGGTATTGTATGCATCACATGTATAGGATTTAAAATATGTTATTGATGTAGTAAGATTTAATGAGTAATAAGAGACAAACATTGGTAGTTTATGAACATGCGATGAAAGTCTAAATCGAAAGCTCAGAACGACCGTCAAATACCAATTTCTAGGGGTCTTATGTATGTCGTGGGAATAAAGTCATAAGCCAATCCGCTTACTTTGTGGTTTCATTTCAGAACGAACGAGATCTGGTACGGACCTTTTGGATCCATTTCTCTTTGACTCGGTGAAAGTTGTATCATGTCGTTCAGATAAAATAGATTTTGTGTTCATTCGATATAAAATTGATCCTTCTTCCTCCATGGTTTCGTCTTTAATGATTTCAATTATCTTGTAGTTGAAATATTTATTGAGTTTGTAATAATGATATATATATTCCCAGATAACATTATGTTGTATGTCCTCGTGTGCGTGTTCACCTCACTAGCATAATTTTCACTGTCGTCGCCAGAATCCCCAGTGTTCCTTCAGTGAACGCTTTTAGCTAAACGACAGATCTGCAATCTTTTGTATGGCTATATCCTTCTCAGTGTACAGTATACAGAACCAGTGATAATCAGTGCCTAAACTTAATGGTATAATGTCCATCAAAATCCATTGCAAAGCAACACTAATACACTTCTGATGTCATCAGGTGGCAAAGAAACAAAAGTTTTTGTAAAGACCTACGCGGATCACGAGCAGAATTTTAACCGAAATGCGCTTTAAGTACTCTAGAGGGACAAAGCAAAGTTTACGACAAGCTTGTGTGGTTCAGGTCATTAATTAAAATAAAAAGCAAGTTTTTAAGTGAAGCTGTTACCATATTTTCAAAGTGTTGATGGATGT